TAAATAAATAAATAAATGACTCGCATATATAGCACAGGCTTTGAAAAATTCAGTAGGAACATAGTAAGAATAGAATAGAATCTCCTATCTTTAACAATGTGTAATAATGTAACTAATGTGATGTATATATGTGTTATACATGATCAAATTAGTTGCCAGCAGTAGTTTTTGCAAAATATTTAGAAAAACTTATCATAGTGTTTATGTCAAAGAAAAAAAAAAGATATTTCAACTATTAGAAACCTAGCCAGGTTACAGCCATGACCAGTCTAGTCAACCTGCAATCCTGGTCCTCAGGAGGCCAAAGCAGGAGGATTTTTGTGAGCTTGAGGCCAGTGGGTCACAGGTGACTTTGAGGCCAGTGGGTCACAGGTGACTTTGAGGCCAGCAGGTCACACAGTGAGTTCATCCTGGCCGATTTCACATAGCAAGACCCTGTCATCTCTAATCGAGTCATCTCTAATTTCCATATACTAAAATAAGAAATTCATAAAGAAAATAAATGCCCAATCATCTAAATAACAACCAAGTAAAATAATTAATACTACACTTATACTTCATGTAGATAATTAAATAGAACACAACATATCAAAGTATAGAATGACAACAAAGCTGCAACCACAGACAGATGCATGAGTGTAGAATTGACATATTTTTTGTTTAATAAGTCTCTTGGTTATAATGTTCTCATAACTTTCCATTGTTTAATATTAAGTCCTAAAAAATAAATAAAATAAAATATCAAGACTTATCTTCTCACCTCTTTACTTATATGGTACTCCATCTTCAGTAGGTAAATTGTCAATGGAGGAATGAACCTGGGCCCTAGAGTCTGTTTCACTGTCTTCTCCTGTCTTGACCCCCTGCTCCTACCTCCCTGCTCCCTGCATCTATGTGGCGCTAACCAGTTGACACCATGTTTAACTTCCTCAGACACACCTAAGTCCCTTACATCTACCAGTTTGTAAAAATGAGTGTCTCACTTGAACTCTCGGCCTCTCACGCTGTTTTACAGGGACATGCCATTTAACAGTTATGTCCCACATACCCTCTACCTCACATACGGTGGTCTACATAAGTTGGAAGAGCCCCATTTTTCTTTCCCTTTCAATCTACAGGTCTATAATTTCTATGGTCTCATAAGTTTATCACAGATTAAATGACATGTACATTTATACATGCATCCACATGCACATACATAAAGAAATGTAGGACACAGAAGATTTCTTTTTAGGATTCATTTATATATTATATATGCGTGTGTGTGTGTGTGTGTGTTCTTAAACTTTTTAATCTTATTTGAATTGACATAACTGGAAATAAAGCAAAGAGATTGTTTTTAATTTTTATCATTGTTTTAATTGACAAATAAACATCATTTTATGGTATATAACTTGATGCTTTGAATTATATTGTGGCCTATCTAAACCTAGCTAATCGGGCTTGGAATCTGCTCGGGGGCACAGCACCTGCCTGGCCACTGCAGGGTCCTTGATTCCTGATACAAAAAAAAAAAAAAAAAGAAAAGAAAACAAGCTAATCAATATATGCATTATCTGATATACCTAACCCATTTCAAGAGGTATTTTTCTTGTACTTCCTGTATTCAGTAAAATCATGAGTACACTATATTGTTGTCAAAAACATTAGGTGCCTGGACTCTCAGACATATATGTGAATTATAATTTGCATCATGTCTGATTTCCCAGTTCAAATGTGTTCACTTTTGCTAAATTCTTCACTTAATCTTATTAGTTATTCTCTTATTTCTGTGATGAATATGCTCATTAATAAATATTAATGTGCCTCTCAATTCAGAATTATTTGCAACAATAAGATTTTCAGTTTCCTATGAAGAAATTATGGATATTTGCTAGAATCAATTGTGGTACAAAAAGAAGAAAAGGTGTGTGGTCCCTATTTCTGTACAAGTTCTCACTGAGTTATACGCATGTACAGAAAGATGAATGTCTGCAACCAAAGTAATTTGTGTGATGTCTAAACCTAATAACATTCTTCTCCCATGCAGACGAGGGTCAAATGTGTCTCTTACATTGGACATGAGTAGTTTGGGGACTGTTGAGCCCTTCGTGTCTGTACCAACCCCCCGGGAGAAGGTTGCCATGGAGTACCTGCAGTCAGCTAGCAGAATTCTCACAAGGTCACAGCTGAGGGACGTTGTGGCGAGTTCACACTTACTCCAAAGTGAATTCATGGTGAGTCTATTTCTTATTCATTCCTCTCTGTTTGTAGACAATTAGAAAGTTAAGAGATATATATATGGAAATGAAAGTGCCAGGTCCAAACAGCATGTGGTAAACAAATGGTTTCAGTTCAAAAGGTAAAATACAGTGGGTCCAGGTCCATCCTATCTGTCAGCTGTGGCTACGCAGTCATGCTCCAGCGCTGTGGCCAGATTGAGGCAGAGTAGGGAAGGCCTGGCCAGGCAATACAGTGGCACAAAGCATCTGGGCAAGAAGAGAGCCAGCTCAGGATTTAAAAACAGCTTTGCTGGGCGAGTCGGATAGCTCAGCTGTCTAAAGCATCTGCTTAGGCAAGCTTAGGCAGGGTTTCAATCCCTAGTACCACATGCCGTGCCAGCCCTGCCCTCAGGGTAGGCTGAGCTGGCTTAAATAAATAAATAAATAAATAAATAAATAAATAGCTTTCCTGTTGCTGTTTGGGAAATTAGATTATTCAAGTAAGTGCAGCATCGAAATTAAGGTGAGAAGTGAAAACATCCAAACATCAGGAAAACCAAAGAGACCCACATCTTAATGTATCTCCAGGAGTATGGACTTGGTCTTGTGTCTTACAAAGATCACTGTATGCACAGTGTTGAGGACTCTAGAAGGAAGCATTTGGAAGGTCTGGAAATAATTCTGTTGAGCCTGGATGGGGGTTTATGCTAAGATAGCATCAGTGAAAGTGGAAAGAATCCATAACAATCTACAGAACGTAGGCTTGCCTGGGTGAAGCCACCAAAAGTATGGAGAAGTGGGTGACAGTACTCAGGTGGTTGCCTTGAGAGACAAGCACACAAACTGTGCTCTGGAATGAAATGAGAAGCACAGAAGGAAGAAGTATGGGCTGAATATGTTGACAAGGATAAATTTAGACTTACCGATACACTAAAATCGAGTAACTCAGGACTACATGTACCTATACTGGAGTCAGATCAGATCTTCAGTCTAATTGTTGATAAAAGGGAAAATTCACTTCACCGAACACCTTGACCCTTAAGTCAGCTATGTTTTCTAAGCCATATCAATCATGTAAAACAAATTGGTCACTCTAGAGTTGGTTGAGATGTGTCAAAACAAGATCATGTTGAGGAAGTCCAGAAAAGGGTTAAATCAATTGCTAGCCCTCATGGCTATTGAGTGTTCAAAGTAAAATATACGTGTGGAGTTTTGAAGTGAAGCTCTGTAGTATGTCATCTTTTTATAGGTGAAGAATAAAAGCATAATCAGTTGTCACACATGCTCAGCTACTGGGGATACTGAGGTGAAAAGGCTGCAAATTCAAAGGGCAGGCTAGGGGGCCAGGGATATAGCTCAGTGGCACAGGGTCTGCCTGGCAAGCATGAGGTCAATTTGCAAAACCAAAACAAAATCAAACAAATAGAAGAATAGACTAGGCAATTTAGTGAGACCCTCTTTGAAAATAAAGTGAACACTGGTGGGGCAGTAGCTGAGTACTCACTGTGCTCATTCCTGGTAGTTCAGTATTCGACCTGTTTACACAAATACTCACACTTCATAACTAAAGACCCACTTAAGTATTCTTTTCTAGAGCTGATAGTAGACCTTTGTGTGTACGATCAGCCTTTAACAAAGAAAGATGAAGTCTACATGGAGTACCCAGAAAGAAAATGCTAGATTACAGGTTACCAGTGTACGACAGGTAACAGGAGGCAAAATGGAAGAGAAGGAAAGGAGTAAAGATCCCACCTATTTTATGATTTTGCCAAAAGAGACTGACATGCTTGAAGTTATGAGACATGGAATGATTGGTTTGGCCAGATAGCTCAACAGACTAAAACACCTGCTTAGACAGGTGCAGGGACCAGGGTTCAATCCCTGGTGTGCTGTGCCAGCCTTGCCCCCAGAGCACGCAGAGACTGCAATTGAGGACTAGATGTGATGGCACATGCCTATAATCCCAGCGCTTGGGAGGCTGAAAACAGGAGGATCACTATGAGTCCGATTTGTGTAGTGAGACCCTGTAGACCCTATACTAAAAAAATATATTTAAAAAACCTCATGAACCATTAAATAAGTCTAGATGGGGCGGCCTAGCCCTAGCTCCGTTCTTTAAGTGGCTGCTTCCACAATGCTGGCAGCCTCAGTTTGCTGTAGTTCGATCCCCACAACACTCCAGCCATGCAAAAGTGCCATGAAGGCATTCAAGGAGCAAAAAAAAAAAAGTCCTAAATAAGTCTAGATGTTTAAAGAAAAAAACATGGAATAATCCAAACATGCTTTTTATTGAACATTGAACAAGTTCGGTTATTTTGGTAATCTGGAACAAAAAGTGAAAATATTTAATTGGAGCAAAGGTATTTTAAATGTATAAAATACAAGTTAACTTAATGATATTAAAAATATAAGCAGATCTTCTCCTATATCAAGTCTGAAATTCAGAACACAGCCTGACTTTTCTCAGTTTTCATATTGAAAACTAGAACAATTTGGGGTTTGTTTTGTTTTGTTTTGGTGGTACTTGGGATTCAACTCAGGACCTTGCACTTACCTGGCAATCACTTATTCTGAGCTATTGCCCAACCCAACAATTTGAATTAAGTTATAATTTACGTCTTTCATTTCAAGAAATAATTAGGATGCTGAGTTAAAGTTTTCCATTGGAGAAAGTGAATATAAAAAGTTATTTTATGTGATCAAATATTTAGTATTTAATAGTCATTAAATAGCATAGACCTTGTTACACTAACCTTATTTAATCAATCCTTTGGACAATTTTGTGTTAGAAAACGTACTTTGAAAACCAAATCCTATTTTTGCACATGATTTTAGGTCTAATTCTTTTACATAAACCTACTGTTACTTTATTTGTTCCCTCCCTAGACATTTGAGGCCTGTGATACGTATTCTGAATGATGAAAAAAAAAAAAAATTATTGTCCTAATAAGTAGGAAAGGAAAGTGTCTGGGCGTCCTTCACTAAATATTGCCTTTATAATCATGAATGAAATGCTCCAATTCTAAACTATTCCTTAATCTTAAAATTAGGTCATTATTCAAATCAACAAAAAACATTTACATTTACCAGTTTTGCCTAAAAAAATAAAGACTAATATTAAAAAATAATTCATTATAGTGAGATTTTTTTGTATTGAACTGTTGTAAAGATCTGAAAAACCTTGACTATTGTTTGTTCAAAGACTTTGAACTGCCCACGTAACTCCATCAATTATGTCACAAGTTTTTTTTTTTTTAAATCTAGGCAAGTGTTTTATTTCTCTTCAACCAGCACATATAAAATAATACTGTCTAACACAGCTGTTTCTTAGAAGTCAGCTTGAAAGGGCGCGACCAACCTGTTTATAAAAGGAAGGGTGTGGCTCAGCCAGAGGCGGTAGTCTGCTGTTTCCTAAAGGACTTTGAAGCCCAGTCAAGTACAGATCAAATAACCCCCTGTGAAGATTTTCTTTGTGTCAGCCTTGCGTGCGCTAATTCGATATCATTTATTTTTGTAGGAAATACCAATGAACTTTGTGGATCCCAAAGAAATTGACATTCCACGTCATGGAACAAAAAATCGCTATAAGACCATTTTGCCAAGTAAGTTTCTTTCTTTTTGCTTTTTTTATTTTAGGAAAGGGTCTACAGGGTGTTCAGGGTCTCACTACTAGATCAGACTTGTAGTGATCTGCCTGTTTACAGCCTCCCAAGAGCTGGGATTACAGGCGCGCACCACCACGCCCAGTCTCAATTACCATCTCAGTGTGCCTGGGGGCGGGGCCAGCACAGCAGGCGCGGGAAATTTCCCCCGGCCCCTGAGCGTGCTTGCAGGTGCTTTAATCCACCGAGCTATTTGGCCGACCCTAAGTATGTTTCTTGATTTCATAATATAGGCTGTACAGCACAAAACAAGCCTTCTCCCGTCACCTAACCTCACAGTAACTTCATGTTGCATTGCTCTTCTCCTAATGACCAACTCATGGTTCCAGCAAACATAACTCTAAAACTCTGGCATGCCACATGTTATGGCCAAGTGATTTTAATCATTAGTGTCAAACAATTAATAGGAGAAGGAGAGTCTTTTCCAAACTGGTGTTGAGACAACTTGATATTTGCAAGCATAGGAATAAAATGGAGTTGAACCCTGCCTCACACCATATACAGAAATTAACCCAACGTCAATCAGACACCTACATGTTGGTGGCTGAAATTATAAAACTTGAAAAGAAAAAAGTTGTGTTTTCATAATCCGGAATAACTCAGTGGTTCTTAGATTCAACACTAAAAATATGAGCCAGGGAGATGGCTCAGTAGAATAAGCGCTTCCCTGGCAAGTGCAAGGGCTTGAGTTCAATCCGTAGTTCCACCAAAAAATTAAATTAAATCAAATAAATAAATAAGCAAACATTCAGTGTCTCAAATTATATTTCCTAGAAAAGTAAAAAGACAACACAGAGAATGAGAGAAAATCACATAAAAAGATAACAGAACTTAAAAATAAGCAAAGGATTTGAATAGGCGCTTCTCTATAGAAGATTATTACTCACTAACATGTACAAGGTTGTTTAGCATCATTAGCCATCAGAGAAATCAAAACCACAATGAGATATTACTTCATAGCCATAAGATGACTATAAGAAAAATGATGGCCAATAAAGATATTAATGAAGATGCAGGAAAATTTAAAGCCTTTCTCCCCCCCCCTAACTTCTCTCCCTTCCTAAAATTTTCATCAAAAACATAAAAAACACTAAGTTTAGGGCATATATATCCTTCGTAATTATCATATATATACATATATATGCAAACTATCATTTAATTCATTTAATTTCAGAAGGACTTGGAAATTACTGGGGCTACTTCAGAGTCCAGCCTGCTCTATTTCCTGCCCAAGGCTGTCAGACAATGGCTTCCCAGCCCTGTGTCAGCCTTTCCATTCCCAGAGCTGGGCGGACTCCTCACCCAGGCACCTGTGCTGACAGCTGGTGTCACCCGTGATGGATTTTCTGTTGAAAACGCCTTTGTCCCAAACACCTCAGCCATTCCTGTTGCACAAAACGTATCTTAGGAAACAAAACCTGGAAAGCCACACCATTCTTTGAAAATTACCAGAAAAGACTCAAATGAATAACAAATTCAAAACATTACATAAATTGATGATTAGCAAATGATCAAGATTTTAACTATCATGGTTGTTTTTACTGTTTTAACCTATAACAAACTCCACTTAGCATTAAAAGCTTGCCACCTTGTAGAAAATGGTAAAGCTATGAAATTTGAGGATGTTTTCCAGCAGGTATATGGATAACCAAGAACTAATTAATGATAGCTATTTCTTTCAAGACAATGTCATTGTGACTCCAAACCCTCTAAAAGGAACATGAAAATGATGAAGTCAAATGAATTTAAAATTATTTTGCAATATAAAAAATATTAATTATAAAAATATGTTTGCAACTCAAGTCACAAAATCAATGAAGAAAATAATTATATATTAAGAAGACGTTATTTAGCACACACTAAAGTATAACAATAAATGTTATATGTATTTCACATAGTCAACATATTTATATAAATATAAAATAATATATACAAAGTTAAAGAACATTATTTATTCTGGCAATTATTTCATACTCAAAGATGTACTATTATGGTAATGTTTTCTACTTAAATCATGTTTTTATCTTATAATACTAAATATCCAAACGAATGAGCCACTGGTTAAGGCAACAAGTTGTGTTAGATTTTGTTTCCTATAGATATTAGAATTAGACTTCATTTTCTACTCTGACAAAAGACATTTTTAATTGCTGTTAGCTGTTCAATCTTCTTTTGCCACCTTTTTTCACCCCTAGAAACAATAATAATAATAACACTATCCTACAAGGCCATGGGAAAAATTAAATGATAGTATATGTAAGATGATTAGCAACCTTCTAATGGTTCCTTCTCTTCCTAAATACTAATGGATCATCAGCCAACATTAATCTTAAGATAAGTTACAGAAAATACTCTTGTATTTAGAGAAGAGTTGGCAGTTTCCAAGGTGCAGCATGAAAGAGCCCTACTTCCTCTTACAATTTCTATGTGACTCCAAGGAGTTTTCATACAATCACCACCTTGAATTGTCAGAGTCATCGCTCTATAACTACGGAGTGTTGTGTGGTGACAGGCGAGGTGGTGCACTCCTGTGATCCCTGTAGTGGGGAGGCTGAGACAGGAGGATCACCATGAGTCTGAGCTGCATAACGAGACCCTGTACTAAATGAATACATTTTTTAAAAATCCTATGGAGATGTTCCGAATTTTCAATATGATAACTGTTAGCCACATGGGACAATTGAGCACTTGAAAAACAGTTAATGAACCTGAGAAACTGTTTTCTTTATGTATATATTTATTTTATTTACCCATTTAAAATTTTATTTTACACAATTAAATTTAATTACTGTAGCTGCATACAGCTAGCAGCTATCATATGGACTATGAGCTACTCAGGCCTGAGTCTTCTCTCTCTAATCACCTTGAAGATATAATTAACTTTTTTCTTAAAAAAAATTATGTATTTGGAACAGGGTCTTGCTATGCAGCTCAGGCTCATAGTGATCCTCCTGCTTTCAGCCTCCCCAGCGCTGGGATTACAGGTATGCGTCACCAAGCCATCTTAGTGGCTGGCTCAGTGAGCCCAAGGTGGGGCTGGCATACCATGTGGTGCCAGGGATCGAACCCCAGTCCCTGCATTTGCCTAAGCAGGTACTCAGTTAGCTGAGCTATCTTGCCGGCCCTTAAAGATATAGATAATCCTCTACTATTCTCCTATTTTCTACTTAGCTTGAATTAAGCTACGAAAATTGTCTTATTTTCTTCCTAGAGGAAAAAAAATCTTAAGAATTTTGAGAGAATAGTCTTTGATAAAAATCTGATAAGATGTCACTCAAAATATCAGGATCTCATTTTCTAAATGGAGAATTTAAGATCATAGTAGATATTTTAGGGAGACCAGGATGGAGAAATTTTATAAATGCAGGTTTGATAGAACAAACAAATACAGCTTTGGTAGAATAATCTATACTTATGCCCAGTCATGTTAAGTGGGGAAAAGAAAAAGGAAGGAATAAAGAAATCAGGAGAGAGAAATTTAAGGAAAATAGGTAAGGAAGAAGGGAGAAAGAAAAAGGAAAGGAGGAAAGAAGGAAAGAAAAGAAGAAAAAGAGAAATAGAAGAAAAGAATAAAAAGGGTAGATAAAAAATGACCAGTATTTAAATAATATTCATAATTATTATTGAAACTGCCCAGATATATCATGCCATATCAACATATAAATCAGAAACATTTTCTCAGAAAAAATTATCATACAAATTTGACTAATACATAGATTTAAAATGCTTAACATTAATAAAAATTTAACAGTAGTGATAAAAAATAATGATGATTATAAAGTTTTAGTAGTCCCAGCCAATGTGTTAAAAGGCTTTGATTGCAAATCTACACTATCCCCTACTCAGTCATGTGTTGTATTCTTGCTTTTTAAAAATGGAAGCTGCTAAGTACTTGAAAATTACTATAAATTACTTCTACTGTAAATTTAGTTCAGCATGACAGGGAAATTTCATAAATGTAGATTTTATAGCAGTTGATAGCATTCCCAGTAAATCATATAGAACACAGCATTATAAAAACTGAAGGAAAATAAATAATTAAACAAACAAACTGAAGGAATGGGGTCGGGGAGATGGCTCAGTGGAATAAGTGCTTCCCTGGCAAGTACAGGGGCCTGAGTTCAATCCCCGGTTCTGCCAAAAAATAAAAATAAATAAAAGATAAAATGTAATAAACTGAAGGAAGTGTGATTTTTCTCAAGCCTAAATAGTTTAGGTATTTTGTAGAAATTTCTAGTAATCAATGGATAGTAAAGAAATAGAAGTGTTCTTGTCTCTTGCTAAGAAAAAAATAGTCAAAAGCAGTGTTTCTGACAGAAATTAATTTTAGCATTAAGCAATCTACAAACCACAGGGCAAGTAGAAATGCTATAGGATACAAAAGTGAATTAAATGACAGCCCTTGGCCTCCAGGGTCTTGCCGCAATCCGTTGAGTGCACACAGAAGTGTGAGTACTTCCCATGCCAGATTTATACTGACATAAAACTCGAGGAATCCAGACAGAGAAGAGAGTGCCTAATAGTGCTCAGGAGGGCCAGAAGGGCCTTCAGAAGCATGTGCTTCCTGTGTGAAGCCCTGAAGAGTGAAGATTTCACCATGGAGAGAAGGCAAAGAACATAATATGTGCGGCTGCCTAGGAACTAGAAAAGAATGAATACTGAGAGATGGCCCTAGATCCATGGGACTACATCAGATGGTACACATGGGAAAGTGGTTACTGATTAGGCTTTGGGGGAAAACAACTAAAGAGATGCTATGGGCTGGAGAGATAGCTTGGCAGTCTAAGGCCCTGTCTGGCAAGCGCAAGGTCCTGAGTTCGATCACCGGTACCACAAGAGCTTCTACCCTTTACTAAGTTAGGAAGGGCCTGGTATTTCATCCTCTAGGTCTGTACTGTCCAGAAAAACAACCACTAGCTACAGATGACTATACAAATTTAAATTAAAATTAAAGCTTTGATTTCTCCATGCATGGTAGCTATGTGGCAATGTCCAATAGCCCCATGCGGTCAGCGATTGCTACAGATAGCTTCTTCCATACAGTGAAAAGGATTTGGAGTGGACCATGTTTTTGTGGTAGAAGGAAAAGAAATTAGTACTGCTGGCAACTTGGGGCTACCCTGATTGATCCAATCACTGTTAAGTGATCCAAAAGCAATGCTATTTAGCCTGCAGCTTAACTGCAAGCCAAAAGGGATACCTTTTATTATATCGCTAATAAATTTTGCTCTGAATTTTTATACTTAGTGGACATTTTTATACTTTCTGACATTAAGAAAGCCTGAATCTAACTTGCAAATATGCACAAAACCTAAATGTGTAGACTATCCTACTCTACTTGTCTCCCTGAGCAAAACTGATTTGGGATAGTACTATTCCTTTGTGAAACATTTTTCTCCCAAAAGAAATTTTAAAATGTAGAAATACAACCAAAGTCACACTGAAATACATTGGAAATGTATCTCCTCAGGTGGGTGTGGCAGCCTTGCCACATTATGCAGCCAGATTCCACTGGCTGGCTATTTCCCCATCCCAAGGCATTGCTTGTCCAAAATGCTGAGCACTGCAACCACATCCCAAGTGGCAGGAGGAGGTAAGAAGAGGTAGAAGGAAGGCCTTACCCCTCGACCTGCTTCCGTGACCTGACAGTTATACATGTCACTGCCTCCTGCATTTTGCATGTGAGAATCTGGCCACTTGACTGCGACTAAATGCAATGGATAGGGAAGAAAGAAAGCCTTGTGCTGTATAGCCTACCGAGTTCCCACTGAGAGCCTGAGATGTTACTAAAAAAGGTGTGTGTGTGTATTATTTGGACAATGTCTTTATAAAAAGTGACTGCAACATTATGCAAACAAAAAAAACCATTAAGCAAATAAAATTAGGCAGTGGAGATGGTCTGCGCAAGTGATGATCAACACAGAATCTTGTTGTGACTTCTGGAGATCTGGGGGAAATCAAGAGCTTTTGAGAAATGAGCACCAGCTTCCATCCCCATCAGTACTACACTATGAAGGATCCAGGTGATAAGGCCAACCTAGTGCATGTTCCTGAGTCCCCATCCTCTGCTCTAAAAGGTTACATTTCTTCAGGACTGTTTTCCATACCACATCTCTTCAGGAGAAATTCCAGTGAGTGCATAAGGCCCATGTCCCAAGAGAGCTCCGTGCTGCTGAGCCAACTAGCAGAGCTTTCTGTCATGGTCCAGTTATGCCCTGACTCAGATGGTCCTTAGCTGTTCCTCTATTATCTCTGGAATCATCTTGCTTCTTTGAATATAGCCAAAAGAACACACCAGGAGCTTTACCAAAGTTTTTGGGATGAAACAGAATGAGGGCCTAACTCTATGAACAGGATCTTTGTGTGCTACTCTGGGGAACTTTTAATGATTTCTTGAATTTATTAACATATTCTAGATTATTTTTGCTTCATTTGGTATGATCAAATTCTTGAGATAGATACTTGACTTGTGCCTTCAAAGATTAGATAAAATCTTGGTCTTCACACATCAAATGTGTAGTTTCAGGCAGAAGGAGACTTTCTCCTGCCAAAACCAAAGCCCAATCTCAGGGGATATAGCTCAGTGCCTGCCTGGCAAGTACGAGGTCTTAAATTAAGGTATAATAGATAATGAGAAAAGGGAATGAACTTACTCAAAAGGAAAGAGACTAAGTTGAGGAGAAGGACAGGAGAGGGAGTGGTACAAAGCGATTTATCTATGTATGTAAGCAAGATGGTTTGGACAACTGTACTGTGCATTTCTGCTGGTCTAAGTGAAGAAGCAGCTAATGCTTTAATTTGTTTCATCTCTTTTTTTTCAATTGTTTGTACTTTTTCTCTTCTAAATTTCTTAAGCATTTCTCTTTTTCTTCTTCCAATTTTACATGCATGTATCTGTTAATATGAATAACTGGTTGGAAAACAACACTAAGTATTACAACAAATACTATGAAATTCCTATTACTTTGTTAAGTGAAATTCTGTATCACTTGTAATTTTTTCTGCTTTAATTCTAATTTGTACTCTCTTTAAAAAATAATAAATGAATCAATAAATAAATTCCTGGTTCCACAAAATAAAGACAAAAACAAATCCAGATCAAATTAGCTTTATCAACCCTAATGTTAGTTCTATTATTATTAATATATGCATATGAGTTATGTGTATCATATACATCTTCAATATCCTCTTAACCAGGCAAATTTTTGCTACATGTATTCAACATAATCTCTGATGATATCCTGTATAGCTCTAACATTAATAATATAAAGTCAAGTCTTTGCTTCCCTTCTTATGAGCTGCATGATTTTGAGTGAGTTATTTAACCTTTCTATGTCTCTATTATATAATCTAGATTTTAAAAACATTGAGTATCCACTTTATAGAACTGTGTAAGTGACGAAATGCACAGAAAACTGCTAGCTACTCTATTTCTGACATATATTAAACACATAATGAGTGGGAAAACCCATATTTTCGTGGGCTGATTAATCTTTATCTAAAACTAATTACAGCTTTTATTATCTTTAATAACAATTATATGTAAAACTAATTTTAAAATACGTTGGCATTACAGAGATTTATTACATTTTAAATTATCTCTAATTCTCCAGGCTAGGGATATAGCTTAGCAGCTTATGCATCTGCCTGGTAAGCACAAGGTCCTGAGTTCAATTCCCAGTACTGGAAAAAGAAATCTCATTCTCTCTCTCTCTCTTTTTTTCTGGAACCAGGGATTGAACTCAGGCCCTTGCTCTTGCCAGGAAAGCACTTATTCTGCTGAGCCATCTCCCCAGCCCCACCATTCTCCCTCACACATATGCTATGAAGTTTTCTTGCTCAAACACTTCTCACCCACCTCCTCTATGCCATTCTTAGCTTGACCTGCAAATATAAGATCGTGTCTTTTTGTCTTGTAATACAGGAGGAACTCCTTGACTGTGTTGCTGTGCAGCACAGGCACAGGTGAAGAAAGGGTACTTCTTTGTGACATCCCAGGGTTTAATACCATTTTCTGAGAAAAGCCACTGAAATGCATAAAATTTGCAGCTGTTTAAGGAAAACCCCATGCAACCATTGAGATGCGACCACTGAGATTTGCATTGTAAATGTGAGCTTCCATGGCTATCTTAGCATTAGAGGAACAGGATAGCATATAGCAAAGTAATTCTATTACTCAATACCTGGCTATGTGCTCTCAGACAAATCATTTAACATTTAACCTTTCTGTCTCCATTTCTTATCTGAAAAGAAAGAACACTGGAGAAAGAATATTCCTATTATTTTAGGTACCTTTGTTAGACTTACAAAGATCAAATAGTATTAACGTTTGTAAGCATTGAGAATGGACTCTGTGCTATCTAGTAGGCATTAATGCATGTTTTTTGTTTATTTTATGAAGAGACTGACAACTCACTGAAATAAATGGGGTTCATGTTTGCAACCTCTCTTTCCCTGGCCCCACCTGGACAATAGGAAAAGGCCAGTGACACCAATTCCAAATGCAAAGTAAAAGAGAATGGACATAAAAGTGAGACAGGGTCAAGGATCAGAATTCCATAAAATGGCACAGAGTGTAAATTTATCTCAGCCGATTGTCAAGGCTTATGTGAGGAAACAAACCAAGATGGAATTCAAGTGTTCCTCAATCAACACAGACGGATCGAGAGACGCCAACACACATGACCAAAGACAGATATCAGCACAGGCCTGACAAGCAGCGCATAAGTGAAATGTGTGTTGCTGGTCCCTGAGGAATTATAAAAGAGTAAATCTCTTTAATATGCCTTTCCTGTCTCTTTATTAGATCCACTCAGCAGAGTATGTTTACAACCAAAAAATGTAACTGATTCGTTGAGCACCTACATCAACGCTAATTATATCCGGGTGAGTAAATAAATACAAATTTCTTTCTAGTGAATATATAGACTTTTGGAATTGTTCATTTTATTATTTTATTTTGCCCTTAGTGTAGATTAAGTTGGTTTTAACTATATTACCAGTGAGTTCTATTTGTTAAAAGTCATGTCAAAATTGGTGGTGGACCCTGATAATGCCCTGTGGGTCTCTGATAATGGTCCCTACACAGGCACTCTGGTGAGAGCTGGGTGCTGTCTGATACCAGGCTGGACCCCCTGGGAAAACACCCATATGTGTCGTAGAGCTAGAGTCAGTGAAGCAACCACGACCTTTGTTTCTTTTAATCTAACATAGTTCTTTCATTCTGAAGCTCTTTCACCTAATTTATCACTGTAAGTCCTGAATGTAAATCAACAATTTTGTCTCCTCACTACAACCAGGGCTATGGCGGCAAGGAGAAAGCATTCATCGCCACACAGGGCCCCATGATCAACACCGTGAATGACTTCTGGCAGATGGTTTGGCAAGAAGACAGCCCCGTCATTGTTATGATCACAAAACTCAAAGAAAAAAATGAGGTATGATGGCAAAAGCTCAGGAAGTTATCATGTTCTGTTACTCCTGAAGAGATTTTTGGTAAGAAAAATCATCATGAACTTTAAAAGGTTTGTTTAAAATGGAAACTTTGAGACATTTAAGGGCTAGTTCCCTTTATACTTTTAACAAATGACAACTGATATCATGTATCAGTTGTAACTTTGCTTCAGACAGTCAATATAAGTGACATGGTAACTTTGCTTCAGACAGTCAATATAAGTGACATATGCATATTTCATTTGTACTCAAATATCTCAATAAGGATATGAGGAGCCATGAATTACAAATAAGTATATAACAATTATAAAATATTTCCCTAAATTGTAAAGAGGGAAACAAAAAATTATACATATCCCAAGTCATTTTTTATATAACACATACATTCTGGTGGTTGGAAATATATTAATAAATAAAATATGCTAAAACCCAAAGCATGGTAGATTTTAATGGGAGGGGCTGGCCAGATAGCTCAGTGGATAAAGTGCCTGCTTGTGCAGACACAGGGACCGGGGTTTGATCCCCAGTATGCAGTGCTGGCCCCGCCCCCAGGGCGCACTGAGATGGCGACTGAGACTGGGCATGGTGGCACACGCCTGTCATCCCAGTGCTTGGGAAGTTGAAAACAGAAGGATCACTACGAGTCTGATCTGTGTAGTGAGATCCTGTAGACCCTGTACTAAATACATTTTTTTAAAAAAGTTCTTAATGGGGGAGAAAAACAAAAGCTGTGATAAACATAATAAATTCATAAATAAATGTAATATATTAGAAGAGATAAGTACTATTTTTAAAAATCAGAGCAGGTTAAGGGGGTAAACCAGAACTGAGCAGGAGGCAGAGATGGGTAGAAAGAGCAGACCACAGTGAGGAATGGGAGCACAAGGTGAACACACTTTTAAAAGTGAGTTTGGAAGAAAGATTTGAAGGAAGTGACAAAAAAGCAACTGTTCTCTCTTAATAGTAAAAAATAAATTTAAAAAAAGATAAAATTAGATTCTATTTCCAGACTTTTCTAAGAGTTTAGTTTGCAGTGTCACTTATTTCACATTTTGCATTATAAAAATAAAATTGAAGGACTCCTAAAGAGTGTTCTTTTAGATGTTTCTTATATTTTAGGTTATCTCATTGGGATCATTTACCACCTGATTTCGGTCAACACTTGATTTGCTTGTCCTCTTGCCAGAGTCATTACACCGGGCTTCATCATGACAGTAACACTTTAGGAATATGGCGATTTCTCTTAAGCTCTTTTGGTGGCTTACGCCTCTTAATTATAGTGTAATCCTGTTGCTAATTGGGAGACTCTAGGCTTAAAAACCATGACTTACAAAGTTTTTTAAAGTTTGATATTTTCCTTTGTTTGTATTACAATAGATAAAGCATTTTTCATGAATTTTACCTTGGGGAAAGAGTATATTTTGGTAATAAATGAAGTTATGTACTAAATTAACTGTGTGTGTGGCTTGCCAATGAACAAATTTCTATGAGCCTGATTTGGAAGCATGAGGTGTTATAATGAGTACAATCCTTAATATTCTCACGTGTTTTGCACACATCAGTCCAACAGCATATTAAGTCACTGACAGTTCCTGCAGAGTTGTTCAAAATACATGATATTTTAGCTTTGTAACAAAAAAGTGCTCAATGTTCAAAAATCATATTCACTATGTGTGCACTTCCATGTATGCACATTTATAATATTTATGTAATGTGGTTGATTACATAACATGGAAATACTTCCACTGCAAACCAGTGACACTGGGTAAAATTGGAAATAGCATGTATTGCAAAGTCCAGAAAAACTAAAGGAAATTCTAAGGGTCAAAATTTAATTAAAAGGTATAAAATAGAGAATTAAAGGTTCCTGGTGTTTTAATTGCATATAAGAATGAGAGCCAAATCTTAGGATTCAAGGAGTTGTAACTGCAACCTTACATAAAATGGGCACCTGCCAACATTATGGATTTAGTAAAAACTGAAAGACAAAACTAAATTTGCCTTCCAAATTAGGGCCACAACAGAAAAATTATTTGTTTAAATATGGGCTTTTGGTGTGATAAAACAGCTCTCTTGAATATATAAAACTGAGAAACCTCAGAATATTAAAACCAGATTATGTCAGGTGGCATAATTAATATCAAAAGTAGTAACACCTTGGTAGCACTTTGTGTACTTTATAGGAACAAAGCAAAAAGTCCTGGGACACATAAAAAATGCTACATATGCCTCACAGAGTTTATCCCCAAAAACTCAAATATAAGTTCATAAATCAAAAT